GTGGGAGAGGTTACCACCAGCCACAATACGAAAGCAGGGGAAGAGGTTTCCACCAGAACCCAAACGGACAAAGGTCCAACCGGGGTGGAAATCAATTCCAACAAAATAACTACAATCAGCAGCGTGGACACTACGGCCCACAAGCCGCTAATGTAGCCGAACAGAGACCCCAAGACCAGCCAAGAAATAACAACCAACAACAACCCCAAGGGGAAGAGGCCAATCTCATCGATCTTTTTCGCTAATTTCAATGCGGAAAAGGCTTTGAGGGCCCATTTCTCACTATTCGACACCAACCTTGAATTGATAGTAGATAGCGGAGCTTCCTGCTGTCTACTTGATAAGAGGTATGTACCAAAAAATGTAATTATTAATAATACACAGACTTTGGAAGTAAGTGGGGTAAACGGTATTACCAGCACCTTGGGATTTGTAGATACCTTTTTAGGATACCATTCCAAGAGTTACCCAATAAGGTTCCATGTTATGGACCAATTGCCATCTCACGTTGTGGGATTAATAGGCACCAATTTTTTAAAAGAATTCGGAGCAACAATTGACTTTGCCCGAATGAAAATGGAGTTTACTGAACCGAGAGATGAATATTTTACGATTCCGGCTAGAACGGAAATGATTAAATTTATTGAAACGAACTTCACCGACACATGTGTTGTATTGAATCAGGAAATACAATCACATGTCTTCATAGCAAACGCTATTGTACAGCCATCGAATGGGAAAATACCTGTTCGGATGGTAAACGTAAAAAATAAGCCCGTGCAAATTTCGAAACTAACACCAATAATCAAACCTGCAAGCGATTATGTGGTTTTATCTACCAACTTCAATGATCTTAAGTCAGATAGATCAAGTCAACTTCTGAAAGAACTTGACTTAGATCATTTGTCTAAATCAGAAAAGCAGCATATAGAACAGATTTGCTCTAAATATGCTGACATATTCTGTCTCGAAAATGACCATCTAACTGTAACTAATATTTACAGTCCGGTCATCAAAACTAATCCACAAGCACAGCCAATTTATAGTAAACCCTATAAATTGCCGCATATGCAAAAAACCGAAGTGGAAGAGCAAATCCAAAAAATGGTCAACGACCAAATTATTGAAAAAGCTACTTCGGCATCCCTAAGAAGAGTTCTGGGGATAAGAAGAAATGGAGGCTGGTCATCGATTACAGGAAATTGAATACTGTAATCGAAGATGACAAATTTCCATTGCCTAATATCGAGGATATTATTGACGCACTTGCTGGTGCGAAATATTTCTCACACTTGGACCTTTCTCAGGGTTACTATCAGTGTCTTTTAAGACCGGAAGATAGACCCGTGACAGCATTTTCAACACCCTCGGGGCAGTATCAGATGACGAGACTGCCCATGGGCCTTAAAATAAGCCCTTCATCTTTTTCAAGGCTCATGACAATTGCTATGTCAGGTCTAGATACGAAAAAATGTCTGGTCTATCTAGATGACATCATTGTTTTTGGGAAATCAGTCGAAGATCATAACAGAAATCTGATTTCTGTTTTTGAAAAACTTCGAAAAGTGAACCTAAGAAATGTAATTTCTTTAAAACAGAATTACTGTATTTGGGACACCTCATATCTGCAGAAGGTATTAGGCCTGATCCTGCTAAAATAGAAGCAGTGAAAAAATGGCCTACTCCTTTAAATGCTGATGAGGTAAAGCGATTTGTTGCTTTCGCTAATTACTATCGAAAGCACATTAAAAATTTTGCAAGTTTGTGTGCACCCTTAAATCGTCTAACGAGAAAAGGAGCACAATTTATGTGGAATTCAGAATGTGAAACATCATTCAACATTTTAAAGACGAAGTTCATTGACCCACCAGTATTAGATTACCCGAACTTCGAAAAAACCAATACTTTCCATCTACATACGGATGCTTCTGGTTACGCGATAGGAGCTGTCTTATCTAACGATAATGGCAAACCTGTTGCATATGCCAGTAAAGCATTGAACCAAGCAGAAACAAATTATCCAACGATAGAGAAGGAACTGTTGGCTTTGGTATGGGCAATTCGACATTTTCGACCATATCTTTATGGACGGAAATTCATTGTTCATACTGATCATAGGCCATTAGTATATCTTTTCTCTCTGACGGATCCTTCGAGTCGCCTGACCAAATTCAGATTAGCACTCGAGGAATACGACTTCGAAACGATCTATATCCCAGGAAAAGACAACGTAATAGCGGACGCGTTATCACGTATATCTATTTCTGATTTAAAAGCTATGGCTATGCCAGTAACAACAAGATCGAAGACAAAATCAACATTGTCTTTACAAAACACAGAATCTGACACTGATGGGTCTGATCAACCTCAAGTGTCAGAGACTAAATACATCCAAATGAAAGTCTGTCCGGAATTGAAAACTATTGAGATCTCCCCTGAATTAATAAAAATACCGGCTACAAGTACGTTAGATCATCTACGGAGACTAATGGAAAGGATAGCGATATATATAAAGGAAAATAAATTGGAACATGTGCACATTTTCATTAAAAGACATAAAAGCGCTATACAAATTATCAAAAATTTAAGAAATTTGAAATATGAAGGCTTGCCAAAAATAGTCATAATCGGGGATGATGTTAGAAAAATTAATGATGAAAAGGAAAGACAGACAATTATAAATGACTATCATGTCCTACCGACAGCTGGTCATGCAGGGATCAATAGAACCCTGCACACCATAAAACAAAAGTTCTATTGGCCAAAAATGAAGCAAGATATTAGCAATTTTATAAAAACTTGCGAATTATGTCAAAAGAATAAGAATTTACCAACAAATAGAACACCAATGATAGTAACGACGACTGCCAACACGGCATTCGAGAAAATATACCTCGATCTGGTTGGTCCATTACCACCAGATATTGACGACAATAAATACGTCCTCACCACACAGTGTGAGTTGACTAAATTCATAACTGCGACTCCGATTAAGGAAAAATCGTCGAGCGCAGTTGCAAGAGCTTTCGTTGAGAAGGTTATCCTAAATTTTGGTATTCCAAGTATCATTGCGACGGATAGAGGTACTGAGTTTATGTCCGCGGTATTTAAAGATATTTGTGAACTTCTCAAGATTGAGAAATTAAATTCAGTCGCGTACCATCATCAGTCCATTGGAGCTTTGGAAAATGCCCATAAATCTTTGGGTAACTTTCTCCGAATTTACGCTGGTAGCAAAATATTTGAATGGGCATCCTGGATGCCATTCTTTCAATTTGCTTACAATACTACGTACCACTCTGAGACCAATTTTACGCCTTTTGAACTAGTATTTGGAAAGCAATGTAAACTGCCTTCTAATTTAGCGGACGAATCACCTATAGAACCAATTTATAACATGGAGGATTATTGTAAAATTTTAAAATTCAAACTCCAGACACTTCAATCAGAAGTGAGGAGGAAACTTTTGGCATCAAAACAAAAACGCTGTTTAGAATACAACGTGAACAAAACAGTTTCTAAATTTAATCCGGGAGAGCTTGTTTTGGTCAGACAGGAGACCGGAACAAAGCTCGACCCCAAATATTTTGGTCCATTTGCCGTGATAGAGGAGAAAGAGCCAAACGTAGTAATTGAAATGAACAACAAAAGCGAAATAATACATAAGGATAGAGTTAGAAAGTTTTATAGGTAATGTTAGATAAAAGTAGAATAGGGTGTGTGGTGGATGTTGCCACACTAGGATAAGAGGTTCATCACGGGTATGAGATATCCATAAAAACCTCATTTAGGACTAGGTGTATGATACGGGGTATCACACACAAGTATGGTTAGAAATTTTCATGATAGAATATAGGTCTACGTGGTGCTGATACGGGGTATCGCACACACGGTAGGTTGTTTAAAAAAAAAAAAAAGAAAAAGATAAAAATAGTTTTAAATTTTAGACTATAGCTTAAAATTTAAAAATTATAAAATAGGGCGTGTGGTGGATGCCAACCCTGCGCGAGCCCGGATATTTATCCATGAGCGATTATAAACATTGAGGATCAGCATAAATGCGATCACGCCACCCGGGCGATGAACGCATTTATGCTGATGCGACGAAAAGGGTCACGTAGGCACCACAGCCCGCGAGCTTGCGCTCGCTAAAGAATTAATGAATAAAAGAGTGGAGTTTTGTAGCTGAACTGGAATGGTAGTCCCGGGCCGTTAAGACCAGAAACTGAAGAAGCCATAAGCCCCCCACAAAAAGGGCAAGTAATCATCATATCGTTTCAACCTACTTTACACACTAGGAGTCTACACAGACAAACACTCGGGAATAACACATTTCATCGAACCGCGCCCGCTGGAATTGGATGATGATTCGCATGAAACGCGCTTTCTCCATAGTACCGATCCCAAATGCCAAAGACATTGAAGGACGACCGATCATGCTGACAACATTAGAGTTGTTAGATAACGATCTCGTCTTGACACGATGCAAGCATACCGGACCGACCGCCACGGATGGAATCGTACGTTCGCTTAACGAAGAACCTGTTCATTAATCCTTACCCCGTCGCCCAATCACACATCCGTATGACACCAAGGATCCACCCACCATCAGCAGCTCTCGAATACCTCGACACGTACCGACTAGATTATGTACCTCGGAAGACCAGCACTCCCAGCAGTTCCTCTGGTATGACGAGGAAGGTAACATCGTGGTCTACATCTTGCAGGTGATGACCTTCGGAGCCTGTTGTTCCCCTAGCAGCAGCGCTCAGTTCGTCAAGAATATAAACGCGGAACGATTCAAAACAGCATACCCAGCAGCAGTTGAAGTCATCCAGAAGCGGCATTACGTCGACGATATGCTGGTAAGCGTTGAGACGGTAGACAGGTGAAAAAGGTGCCCTGGAAAGCTGGATTCAAGATCCGCAACTGGATAAGCAACTCGAAACGCGTTGTGCGGGATCTGCAAGAAGAACATACAGATGAGAAGAACCTCGATCTGCCGCTGGAGCTAGCCACAGAGAAAGTGCTCGGAATGTGGTGGTGTACTGATTCGGATACCTTTACCTACAAGGTCGGCAACGCATGACCAAGAATTGTTAGATCAGATAACATACATGTTTGACAAATGGCAACTAGAGTTTCAATTATTATAAAAGTTGATTGAAAACTATACATACATAGGGTCCACGAATAAATGAATCAAAGTAAATGGAGGAATGTGGCATCTTAATCCACAAGCTCAATAGTATACTAGATAATTTGAAAAAGAACCCTATGATGAAGAATGGTAGTAAAAATACTACTGATTGGCTTTCGATACTACCGAGGACCAATGGGCATAGCGAGTTGTAACCCACGAATGAACGTAGTGAATAGCAGCGGCACGACGGTTATTACGCAGTGAGATACGATTTTGTTGACGATTGACTAGCAGCAGCACGACGGTCAATGTGCAATGCGAAACCACTTTAGTGCGAAAAACAGTACCGATTTCAGTGCGTAAAATAGTAAATAGACCGAAACCTGCGGATCGAAAATAACTTGCCGAGTGACGAAGACGAGAAGAACGGCAAAGAATGGAACCTAATGGAACCACCATCGTGGTTCTACTAGCCGCCCTGAAATGTATCTCGTGAAGGGAGAAAATGACGCTCCCGACACAATTCCAAGCCACTACATGCGGGCTATTAAAAATAAAATAAAAGGCGAAGCGCGCACAATTTTATGTGCAAATGGAAACCCCAGCTCGGTACCAGGTATCAGGAGGGTTTTACTCGAAAACTATGGCGATCAAAGAGATTTTGCCACAAACCTATCAAAACTGTTTCACATGAAACGGGGTGATAGGAACAATCACAAATTTTACGCCGACGTTAAGGAATTATCGTCGAAATTAAAAATGAATCTAACCTTGAACCCGGTTGAAACCAATCATTTAATTGAAATCCTTATAATCACAAAGTATCTCGACAACATCGGCGAACCACTCGCATCCATAATCAGGCAGTCAGAGCCGGAATCATTAGAGGAGGCATACCAAGCAGTATGCATTAATCAAATCAGTTCTAAATTCCCTCCTAAGCCACCATTCAAGAAAAACTTTACTCAGCACAAACCTAGCTACAAAACTAAAGCTGAGGTTCATAATAACGAGATAGAAGAGGAACGGGAGGAAGACGAACCCGACGCATTAAATTACAGCGACGATGACGACGATGACAATGACGGACATGGCGAGGTGGACGAATCAAATTTTCAAAACGTTCGCTTAATAAAACATCTGACATGAATTTCATACCGTATTTACGTACAAAAGGCTAGACCGATTAGGAAAAGCTCAGTATTTTACGGTGCTCGACCTAGCTAGAGTGGTTTCCACCAGATTGAGGTCGACCCCAAAGATATTCCCAAAACGGCCTTTAATATAGACCATGGGAAGTATGAGTTCGTACGAATGCCATTCGGGTTGAAGAACGCCCCGGCAACGTTTCAACGACTCATGGACTCAGTGCTGAGAAAGCACTTGGGTATAAGATGCTTCGTCTACATGGACGACATCATTATATTTAGTACTAATTTACAGACACACCTAGAGGATATTAAAAAGGTCCTCCAAACTTTGAGAGAAGCAAATCTCAAAGTGCAATGCGACAAGTCAGATTTCCTCCGAAAGGAAGTAGGTTTTCTTGGACATGTCGTCACAACAGATGGGGTTAAGCCCAATCCAAACAAAATAGAGGCAATAAAGGCCTGGCCTCTGCCAAAAACTCCGAAGAAACTTAAATCATTCCTAGGAACAATTAGCTATTACAGGCGGTTTGTTCCCAAATTCGCCCACATAGCAAAGTGTGGTATACCATTCCCTATTGCAGTAAAATACAAATTAACAAATATGATACTCCATTCCCTGACAAAAAGAAAGCAATTATGCAATTCTAAACGAGCCATATGTGTAGCCACTCGATACTGGACTTTCAGCGCACTCTCGTCTCTCTCCACCCTACCGGTGTGGTCCGAGGTCGTTCGCGCAGCAGGAAAGGTTTCGGATGACAACGCCAAGCGCTTAAGTAAAGTACATGTAAACTTATCGATTATGCTAGGATGAGCAATTTTAGACAAATTATACGTCACTCCAGTCGTCTCACTCTAAACCATAGATATCTTACTCTACCACACATAAACCAATGTAAAAAGATAAGCATGTTCAATAAACAGTGATTCTGATTTTTGAGCTCGATCCGAATGGGACTACCCATCTCGGCATTTCGACATTCTCAATAAATCAAGTGTATTCTCTGCGACCCGGCTGGAAATCTCCAGCCAGGCATTTCGCACGTAAGAGAAAGTCCATGTTCGTTCCATGCTAAGTTGTGCGCGCGTTGGTACTCGTTAATTAAAACCGTCAAAAGAACGGTAAAGAGGTGGCCGAAACCAACATTTCAACACAGAGAATGCAACAACAGCAAAATGAATATTTTTCAGGCCAAGGCCACGGGAGTCAGGCACACCCGAACCTACCTCAATATTAAGCATCAATTTAAATGCTGTAAATTTTGTTACTTTAGATGTACAAATGACTAATTCAAAATGCACACTTATTGTAGACAGTGGTGCAGATACTGCATTGTTTAAGATAGGAAAAATATCGGCATTTCAGATGATAAACCCAGCAAAGAAATTCAATCTCACAGGTGTAACAGAAGGATCTATTGAAACATTAGCTGAAATCACAACAAGCCTTCGATTCCATAATGGTTTGATAGTCAACCACACATTTCAAATTGTTCCGAATGAATTTCCAATCCCGACTGATGGCATTCTCGGTCGTGATTTTTTAATTAAGTACAGATGCAACATTAATTACGAAACTTGGATTCTTAACATAAATTTTCAAAATCAATCTATTGATATCCCCATAGAGGATAACCTTAATAATGCTATCGTTATCCCGGCCAGATGCGAAGTAATAAGGCGTATTCCTCTGATTAATTTCACTGAAGATACTGTAGTGCTTTCACAAGAAATCCAGGCTGGAGTATTTTGTGGAAATACTATAGTGCCTCCTGCATTAACCACTGTAAAATTTGTAAATACTACTAATAAGCAAACTGTAATTAAAAATTTCATGCCTAAAACTGAACCTCTTCGGAATTTTATGAAAATAGAGTGCAATAAGAATAATCATATTTACAATAAGAATAATAGAGTCAATGAGATTCTTAACAACATAAATATCAAGAACGTTCCTCTTGATGTTCAAAAACCTTTAGGGAATCTTATTAGTGATTTCGAAGATATTTTTTGTTTACCGGATGAAAATCTTTCGACTAATAATTTTTACTCGCAGCATATTCCATTGAATGATAGTGTTCCAGTCTATATACCGAACTATCGCACGATTCATTCTCAACATGAAGAAATTGACAAACAAATTCAAAAATTACAACGGGATGATATTATTGAACCATCAATATCGCCCTATAATTCACCTGTACTCCTAGTTCCTAAGAAGTCGGATAATCAAGATAAGAAATGGAGACTTGATGTAGATTTTCGCCAGTTGAACAAAAAGATTCTGGCTGACAAGTTTCCTTTACCCAGAATTGACGAAATATTAGATCAGTTAGGTAGAGCAAAATACTTTACCACTCTTGATTTAATGTCTGGTTTTCACCAGATACCATTAGATCCAGAGTCAAGAAAGTATACAGCTTTTTCTACATCAACTGGTCATTACCAATTTAAAAGACTACCGTTTGGCTTGAACATCAGTCCGAATAGTTTTCAACGGATGATGAATATAGCCATGGCTGGTCTAGCGCCTGAAATAGCATTTATTTACATCGATGATATCGTTATAGTTGGATGCTCAGTTAAACATCATTTAAGTAACTTATCCGAAGTTTTCAAACGTTTGAGATTTTACAATCTAAAACTCAATCCATCCAAATGTAAATTCTTCCAATCAGAAGTAGTTTATCTTGGTCATAAAATTACTGATAAGGGTATTTTACCCGATGATTCAAAATTTGATACATTAATTAATTATCCTATTCCAAAAAATGCTGATGAAGTAAGGAGATTTGTAGCTTACCTGTAACTACTATAGAAAGTTTGTAGAAAATTTCGCTAGTATAGCACATCCTTTGAACCAACTTCTAAGAAAAAATGCAAAATTTTATTGGTCAGATCAATGTCAACGAGCATTCGATTACTTGCGATACCAGCTGATGTCACCTAAAATACTACAATACCCTGACTTTAACAATAGATTCATTCTTACCACGGACGCATCTGATATAGGATGCGGAGCCGTACTTTCCCAAGTTACTGAAAAAGGTGATCTTCCGATTGCCTTTGCCAGTAAAACATTCACACCAGGCGAGAAAAATAAATCAGTAATACTGAAAGAGCTAACTGCAATACATTGGGCTATAAATTACTTTAGACCCTATTTGTATGGCAGAAGATTTACAGTGAGGACTGGCTATGTGCATTTTGTCAAATTTGATGAAGAATCTCCATAACAAGAAGGATAATCTTGAGGAGGAAATAAGCGAAGATGTAGGAATTATTTGTTTACTTATTCAAGATCAAAGATCCATCTTCGAAATTAACGAGAATGCGTCTTGATCTTGAAGAATTTGATTTTGACGTTGTATATATTAGAGGCAAGGAAAACGTTGGAGCCGATGCGCTCTCACGTATTGAAATAACTTCAGAAAACTTAAAGTCAAATAGTATATTAGTAGTAGTATACACGAGCTATGACCAGAAAAGCGAAAAATATTGTGGATAAACCAGTTTTAAGTGAGGAGCCTGATCAACTTCAATCTTATACTACTGAAAATCCATCTGAGACCAAAAATATGTTGAAATTGGTTACAACTATAGACAACCATTATTTGACATTTTTAATTTGTAAGAACAATAAATACATGAAAGTTGTAGCTCAAGCACAACAATCAAGACATAATGGAAGTCAAGCATTAGAGTTTGCTCTTTCAAAACTTGAAAATCAAGCCAAGGCATTGAAAATTGATACGCTAGCAATTGCAACAGATGATGAACTATTTAAACATTTGTCAATGAATGAATTTAAAGAAAAGGCCAATAAAATTTTACAACATTTGCAAATCATAATTTTTAAGCCACAGAAGGTCATTAGTGACTTTCAAGTTATGCGAAATATTATGAAAATTTATCATGAAACACCTACAGGAGGACACATAGGTCAAAAAAGATTGTACCTACAACTCCGTGAAATTTATGTCTGGAAGAACATGAAAGAAATTGTTGCAGAATTCGTCAAGTCATGCGAATTGTGCAAGAAAAACAAAGTAATTACGCATACTAGAGAACAATTCCATATAACTACTACTCCTACAAAACCTTTTGAAGTGGTCTCTATAGATACAGTAGGACCTCTTCCTAGAAGTAATCATAATAATCGATACGCATTGACCTTACAGTGCGATCTCACTAAATATGTTGTTCTTATTCCTTTACAAACGAAAGAAGCGAATGCAATAGCACGAGCTTTGATTGATAACTTTATTCTTATTTATGGTAATTTCTTAGAGTTAAAATCCGATCAAGGTACTGAATTCAAGAATGAAGTCCTGGAACAGATTTGTCATTTATTACACATTAAGCAAACATTCTCAACTGCATATCACCCACAAACGATTGGTTCATTAGAAAGAAATCACAGATGTTTGAATGAATATCTGAGATTTTTTGTCAATGAACATCAATCTGACTGGGATGATTGGCTGAAATATTATGAATTTAACTATAATACAACACCACACTCTGATCATGGGTATACACCTTATGAACTAGTGTTTGGTTTTAAAGCTACGGAACGATAGAATAGAACCTGTTTACAATATGGAAGCCTACAAAAATGAGCTCAGATACAAAATTCAAAAATCAAATTCCCTCGCCAAAGATAAACTAATTGCCCAAAAATTATTAAGAAGTAAAAATTCCGAACAAGCTGCAAATCCGATTGAGATAAATATAGGAGACAAAGTTTATTTGACTAATGAAAACAGAAGAAAATTAGATTAATTTTATAACGGTCCTTATTTAGTTACTCAAGTGAACAATCAAAATTGTGAAATCCGAAATGAAACAACAAATAACCATTTGATAGTTCATAGAAATAGATTAATCAAATAAGCAAATATTGTGAATGGAGTCTGGATTATTTATTTAACTCAAACCAATCAAACATACAATTTTTTTTTTTTAGAGCGCTTTCGTTGCACTACACCATTCTTTTAAAGGGGGGAGGTGTAGTGTACCACAAAAGTAACCGTAATCATTTCTCACCATAAACACCAAACCATGTGTTACCATTTCAAATAATTTCCCATGACCGACGTTTCTCATAAGGGTAGCATGTTGCATTTCAAAAAGTAGTTCGACGTTTCCCGTAAGGCAAACATCTCATAAATTTCCTCATTGCGATGTGACAATTAATATTTTCAGTTACATCGAAACCACTTCAGTTAACGTTTCCTCAAAACATGTTTTCCAAGTCAAACCCAAAACGATTCCACGCATCCGCGTTGTGGATCAAATTCCAAACCTTTTCAAACATCCTTTCCAAAACGACCGCGTGTTTAACAACACCAGCTACATGAAATTAAACACCACCGCTTAACAACGCGTGAGGCAAATGTTGACCGGCAGTGACATACTTCTTGATGCATAGTGTGTGTTAAGTGCGTTTACATATTTGGCGACGCCCGTTCTTAAGTATAGTCTTTTTTATCCAATAAGACAGTCCAGGCTCCACCCATAGGAAAACTCTGTAAGTTAGTTGGTAAGATTTCCATTTCAATAAAAACGAATCTCAAATTGGAAGTTGTCGAGTATACTTCAATCCGAAAACCTAGATTGCGTCCGGTAGACACCTCAGGTGGCAATCAGACGATGACGTGAACGGCTTTATCCCGTCAAACGTTTCCTCAGAAATAGAACGTTGCCTCACAGAAAATATGTTTGCCTCTGGTTTGCGTCAGGTCAACGATGTTGTGAATACTAATGGCAGACTCCTCGATCTTGTGTTTGTCAATCTACCGGAGTACTTTGACCTCATTGTACCCTCAACTCCACTTTTACCAATTGACGACCATCACGCACCATTTATCTTGCTTCTTGACGAAAGCTGTAATGGCACAATCACAACGGACGATGGGGATGTGAGATTCAACTTTAATTTTCAGTCGTGTGATTTTGGTCGTTTGGATGACGTGCTCTCAAACATCGAATGGGATGCTCTACTGCGACGGGAATCATTGGACGAGTCTGTATCTGCTTTCTATGATAAACTTTACGAAGTTCTTAGTGACCAAGTACCTCAAAAGAGACAACGAGCTTCTTTAGTCTACAACAAGCCATGGTGGACCTCTGAACTACGTCATCTACGAAACGTCCTCAGGAAAGCACGCAGCCGTTTCTTTCTGATGAAGTCCGATAGTGAGCGGAATAACCTAATCAGGAAGTGGAAACAACGTACAAGGCACTTCTCTTTTCCACGTATGAAAGTTACATGGCTAAGATTCAATTAGATGTCAAGCAAAATCCTTCATGTTTCTGGAATTTTGTCAGAAGCCAAAAATCGGCTACTCGCATTCCAACTAACGTTAAATACGACGAAACCATCGCTAGCTCTAATTCGGAAGCAGCAAGCCTATTCGCCAAGTTCTTCGAGAGCGTATTTAGCAAATCATCGCCTGTTCCTCGCTTCAGCCGCTTTGCCTATATTGCTTCACCAGACATAAATCTACCCGACGTTCAGTTTTCCGTTGTCGAAGTGGTGAAAGCCATTGAAGAACTCGACGTTGATAAAGGACCTGGAATGGACGGTATACCACCCTTGCTGCTGAAGAATTGTTCCACCGCACTTGCATCTCCCATAACATCTCTATTCAACCGTTCGCTGCATGACAGGATGTTCCCAGTGGCTTGCAAATCAGCTTCTATCATTCCAATCTACAAATCCGGCAACTGTAATCGAGTCACGAACTATCGAGGTGTTTCTGTCTTGTGTTGCTTGAGCAAAATTTTCGAAAAACTGGTGCATAACGTTCTGTATAACGCCGTATCTTCATTAATCTCCGGCAGCCAACATGGTTTCATGAAACAACGCTCCACGATGTGTTACGTCAACACCTTGTCTCGCGAAGTTGAACATGGACAACAAGTTGATTCGATTTATATAGATTTCGCCAAGGCCTTCGACACTGTACCAAATATCTTGGTCATAGACAAAATGGTACACATGGGGTTTCCGGAATGGATAACGCAGTGGCTGTGCGATGCTTCACTGACTGCCTGCGGTTGCAGCACCTGATCGATAGTTTCGAAGAGTGGTGCTCTAGGAATTTTCTCACGTTGAGTGTTCAAAAATGCAATATCATCACTTTCCATCGCAAGCTAAAACCTATTGCATTCAATTATACGATCGATAACCAACCTCTGCAGCGTGTGGACAACGTTCGTGATCTAGGAATTACACTTGATTCTGCTTTGACATTTACGCTACATTACACGGATATCATAGCCAAAGCTAACAGGCAACTCGGATTCATCTTTAAGATCTCTGATGAGTTTCGGGAACCTACCTGCCTGACAGCTCTATATTGTTCTCTAGTGCGATCGATCTTGGAATTTGGTGTAGTAGTATGGTGTCCGTATGAAACAGTTTGGATAGCGAGGATCTAGTCTGTTCAGAGGAAATTCGTTCGTTACGTTCTTCGCCACCTTCCTTGGTACGATCCTACGAACCTACCACCCTACGAAGATCGTTGCCAACTACTGGGTATTGAAACTCTTGAACGTAGGCGGAAGATTAACCAGGCAGTTTTTGCAGCAAAAGTGCTGAAAATTGGCCAATTCCAAAAACGGAAACGGAACTAAGAGGTTTTCTTGGAACCCTCGGTTATTACCGCCGTTTTATTCAAGATTTCGCAAAAAATGTGAAACCACTCAACTCAACTTCAATTTCGATCACCAATGATCGAGTACATAGTGTAAAATACATAACGACTCCCAGTGTCTCCGAACCTAGCGTTAATCCCGAGTGCGCTACTTTACGATCTCGACTAGATACAGAGACTGCGCGGCTCTAGGGCCTGGCCCAATGGATTTGGACCGCGAACATTGCAGATGATTTGGAGCGCCTTCTGAAGTCCGGCGAGGAGATCGACAATCGATTTTCATACACCCTGTATCTCTCTAGCATGAAGCTGTCCACCAAGAGCCCGTACTCCGCAACCGTCAAACCGCATCTCCATATCTTCGTTCACGCAATCGGGTGCGCAAACTCGCGGGTTAGGTCATCGAACGCCAGAATGGTCGGAGAGATCAACGTCCACGAGGCAAACGCAAACGCGGCTATTCTCAATTATGTCAGGGGAACCGGTAGTGAACTGACTCCTCAGTTCTATAGAGGGCCTACTAGTGTCCTCGGACCTGCAGTCGAGGCGGCACCAGGACTGGTTGATGGACGTTACGTTGACCTTGACAACGAATCCGTTGCAGGGTGGCTGAGAAACTAATTCGAGCCTGGAGGAATATGTACACTGCCTGGTCGATGCTAGCAAGGGTGTAAGAACCGGAACTATCGGGGAGTTCCTGAAACAAACCGAGGCAACAAAGTTGGCCGAGTAGATTCCGCTGACAGGATGACCAACTTCCGTTAGTTCAACCTTCAAAGAGAACGGGTATTTGTTCGTATTGAATATCACGCCACAAAAGTAACAAAAAGAACGGTATAATGGTACCCTAACCTAAAGGAGGCCGTTGGCGGACTTCAAAAATTATTAAATGAGAAATAGGAAAATATGGCTAGTTCATTTTCGAGAATTATTGCGGGCAAGAATTTAGCTGCAATGAATAATGGCAGTGGATCTGGGCCGGTTCCTTCTGAATCGGGTCAAATCCCCGATAGTAATAGTTATAGTCATGACGAAGAGAAATCTACCGATGACAAAGTTAAAAGTACGTTAGAAACGGATGACGCGATGTGCAAGCTCAGCATTTTCACACGCCAAACCACCGAACGATCGAAATGTTTACTTCTCACGCCGAACCACCGGACGCACCGGATAAATAATCATAATCAGTCTTTAGTGGTAGGAAATTCTTATCTGAACTATATAAGCCACTTACAACAACGTACGGCTGCTATCCTGTAAATATGGGTCCCGTGTAGAACACAACGAGATTAAATTACCAGTTGAATCACATTTCCCCAACTGTTCACGTGCTTCAACCAGATGCTCTATATCCGGAGAACTTTTCCTGTAAACAAATACGTCATTCACCATAAAGCTCAACATTGAATGATTCCTCTATCATTTGGAGCTGATGTGTATATTTACAAAAGCAATTACGCCCACACCTCAAAGTTCCCCGGATACAGGCATTGACTTCCCTGAGAAAAACAAAAATCTTAAATAAGTTATAACAAACATTTCCCAACCAATAACAATGAATATCACCATTTCCAGCAACAATGTCTCCCTACAAGTCCTTCTATCGAAAAAACGGGTCCCTTTCGACGAAAAAAACCTAGACTAGTCCTACATACACACGCACAGTTAAGGTTCACTTTACTCCCACTAGATATTAAGTCAATACAGAGCGTGCAGTTGATTACATAATATTTTGTTCCACGTACAGTTTTCTGTTTTTTTTTTAAATATTTTGTGTGTGTGTGTTTCACTAAAACATCATCAACTACCACACCACAAACACAGTCAGTTTTGCTGCATTGTTGCTTTAGCTATATATAATAAGTAGTCACCATCAGACGAATATAATAATTTACGTTAACCACAGTTTCTGCGCTAATTTTCCCCCGCATTGCCCTCCCGAAAAAAAAAATACTTTGAATGAACAATTTCATAACTTATCCAAACAAAAACTAAAACTAAACATACCTCCCGGTCGCCCTTCAGTACTTTCTCCCCGGGTTGAGGATCTTGCAAAAGTGCGGCATCGTCACCCGGCAGTCGACCTGCGGTTGGTGCGATTGCATCTGCTGCTGCTGTTGTTGTTGTTGCTGTTGCTGATGCTGATGCTGCTGCTGCTGCAGCTGTTGTCCTCCGCCTCCGCCACCGGTCAGTGCTCGTGGCGAGCGCAGGGGTCATTGCTGCTGTTGCTGCAGCTGCTGCATTTCGCCCTCCCGGATGAACTCCTGGTGCCGATCGACCACGTCCGTCACGATGTGCTCTTCAATTTCCTGACCCTTGTGGGCCTGCTCCTTCGACAACAGCACGTCATAGTTCTTGTTCTGGGTGACGAATACCACCCGATTCTTGCGCGTCTGCAGGATGTTGGCGATGACCAGTTTGTGCTTGTACTTGTTCAAACTTTCCCGCGATTTGGCAATCAGCAGGTTTTCGTCCGTTTCCAGCTTGAACGACACGACGTAGGCCAGCGGAACCCAGAGGCTAACCAGCGGGGCCAGCATTTTCGGTACCAACTGGAGCGAAATGGTCGGAGCACCGTGACCGGACTGGATCTTGTGCGTTGGCATTTCGTCCTGTGGCACGTAAAAGTCCGATACGGCCGCGGCCAGGTAGAGCAGTGCGTTGCGTTCGAATGCGGCTAAGCATTCGCAGGCGGCCCGCAGCAGCCACATATAGTCGACCACGCTGGTGAAGGTGATGTACAACATCCGGTTCGTTTCCTGGGCGTTTTTATACTTGTCCAGGATCGGCGCCAACACGTCCACCGAGTCGGGTTTAACTGGAAGCAATGCCAAAGTCAAGTGAGATTATAGAAGGAGGAACCGAAAAGGAACTTACCGGTGATGGTGGTGCTCATGCCTTCCTCGTGCAGTTCCAGCATATCCAGCAGCTGCTGTCCGGTGAAGTGCCTCGAGAAGGGTTCTAGCGATTTGGTCCGGTACATAAAGATCACGGCATAGCCTTGGTCCAGGAAATATTCGGCCGAAGCCGAACCGCGATTGCCGGCGCTGAAGTTGTCCACGAAGCGAACGGTGTTGTGCTCGAGTGGGACCGTGGTTCCGCCGGACTAGAAGAGAGGGAAAGCGCAGTCAGATACCGAACGGCGATGTATGGAGCGTTATTGAGTTAAGGGTAAAACATCCTTTCATTTGCAGCTTACAAGGTTCGCTGAGAGAAATTTCTCTCTCTGTTAACTAACCTTTTCTACCAGAGCACTTCCACGCCAAATCAAGACCAACAATTGAAAATGGCATTAACTCCATTTTGTAAACAAACCTTGTAATGCCATTTTCTCGCGAGTTTTTGAATTGCGGTACTCTTCGGTAAAATTTAAAAATTCTGTGAAAAATTCAAAGTTGAGAAAATGTGTTACGAAAATTTACAGACTAACTTCTGTTAACCCCGTGTAATGATGAAAAATAAAAATTTTCGATTTTTTCCAATCTTTACGAATAACAGTCATTTGAATTTTAACCGAGTTAGTAATCCAAAAATCCAGTAAAAATACGGACTCCTGTATAAAAAATCTAAGTGTGTATACAGAAGCGACGGAGCTCCACACTTCTCCATCGAAACAGCACCGCAGCTGAGCAGCGAGTGCTATGAAATAAAAGGGACATCGACTTATTACCATTACCTACTTCTCTCCCTTCCGCTGTCAGAATTCGCCGATTCGGTGTCTCTCGTTGTGTTTTCTGCTGAGACTGAGCAATATTCGATACCGCGAAACATCTCCACAGTTATGTTTTCTTTCGGCGCAGGAGATGTGCGGTAATCAAAAGTTAAGAATGTAGCTCAACATTTAGAATCATATATCTTCCTCAGCAGACTGTGGATGAAAAGGCCTTAGTAACAAACGAGGCTGACATTCACCATCTTGACACTTTGAGAAAGGCAAATTATTAAATTTATCAACAGCAATCCTATCCCAATTATTTATTTCACTGCGTATAGTTATTTTTTGAATTACACACTTTGACCACAGGGATCTGTCCCATTGGAAATTCAACACCAAGTTAATTTAAATAAAACACCCTCCTTATAACAACGCGCGGGAATCCACTATCTCCTGAATTATTTCTCTTCAACCGCACTCTGAAAAGGAAAGATTCAAACTATTTCGCCTAATGTGTGTATCGAAAAGCGGCAATATACTCGGCAATTGGCGTTGACGGCACCGTCGAAAAATTTGCTCTTCCACCAAATATAGACAGTTTCTTATGGGAATTTTCGGTGGAGTGAAAGGATAGTACAAAGTCCGCCATGTTTCACGCACTGTCTGACGTTTGCTTATGAATTTTCTCATTGACGAGTGCACGGATGGATTTGAGTTCACTCACTCGACAAAAAGTGACACAACAGCGGGGCCCTGTTTACTAAAAATGAACACATATGTGTTCATTTTTAGTAAACAGGGCCCCGCTGTTGTGTCACTTTTTGTCGAGTGAGTGAACTCAAATCCATCCGTGCACTCGTCAATAGGAGTAAAGAGCTACAGAGTCGCCCGTCAACGCCAATACACAGCCCAGTGACAGGCGCGTAGGCAACATGTTATACCATGACAGCGGGCCCAGCACAGCAAAATGAACGTTTTGAGCCCGGGACATGCTGCCTACAGTCAAACGCTGCTGTTGGTATAGGCCTTGCCACTGGCCTGCCAATACAGCTTTCGATAAAGTCTCACGCAGTGGTGGCACGAGTACTGGAGTTCAACGTTTTTTTTTTTTTTCTTAACATTTGATACTTTGCGCAATGATCATACAGAAGACGCACTAACACAAACTGGCAAGCGGAAAAATGTCATGACATTTTTAAACTGTTTTCTGCAGGCGACAGAACATTTGCGCACAATGAAGCAGACAAGACCAGCGACGCGTGCGACGTAAATTTATGTCATGTAGAATTTTGCTGATTTCTGGCTAATTATAGCATTTATTTGATGTTTACTGCATGGAATTATAAATTAAGATCGAATACTAACCACTCATAGATGTTAAAAATATGCGTAAATAAGGGAGTTAATAATTTACTGTGACACGAAAGCTTGCAGCTAAAATGGAATTTCAATGAACTGTTCGAAAAATAATGCGCTACGACATTTTTCCTATTCTCTATCTCCGCCGTTTGTTTGTATTGTAGAAATACACGACCGCCCGTGTGATGGTGGTTTTGTTTTGCTCTGGACGATGGTTTTTCAAAAAAAATGTACTGTTGCCACCTCTGGTCTCACGTACCTTTATGGCAGAACTGCGTCTGTTAAGGTTGGCCCTCACAAATCTAGAACATTTTTCACGTCGTCAGATGTTCCCCTCGAGGAAGTCATCTTGAACCGATTATCTTCACATTATTCATCTACGATCTGTGCTTGCTCCTCCACTCCGATAAACTAATGTATGCTGATGACATCAAGCTATTTTGAGATATTTCATGCGCCTTGGATTGCGCTGCCCTGCAAGATGACTTGCGTCGGCTCGAGAATTGGTACCATTTGAACGGTATGCGAAGCGAATGCTGTGCTTTAATTATCAGCTCAAACTCAAACACACTAGCACGAGTTACGTCTATCAAAGGACTTGGTGTCATCGTTGATACCAAGCTACGATTTACTGAACACATCTCTGCTACTACCGGAAAATGATTCGCAGTGCTTGGTTTTATTCACTGTACTACTGCCGACTTCGATGATATTGAAAATGAAAATGTGGTTCTTCTCTCGCGTTTAGAAAATTTTGAAGTACGCCATCTAGCATTGGGCGATCTTGGGGCAAGAATCGATCTTAGTGAATCGATAAATTTTTTTCAAAATGGCACAAAAATGTTTGAAATATAACGGATTATACACGTTAACTTCAGTTCACTCACCGGGTGAGTCGATCGTACTCACTTTCGTCCGATGTATCGAGTTGTCAAAAACTGAGTAAACGAGAAATGTCAAACTGAGTAAAAGCTACTCAGTCAGCAAAATCCTGGACTTAGAAAAAATGTCAACCATGTTGGAGGAAACGTCCTAGAAAACGGGTGAATGTTTCACTCAAAACGGGCGGAAATTCCTTCAGGTAAGTAGAAATTGCTTAGGACAATGGTGTTGAACCATTTTCTGCTCCGGTAGAATGAATCCGGAGCAGACAATTTTCAATTCCTTAAATAAAATCAAAACAAAAACCCCCCCGCAACTGAAAATATCGCTGAGTGGATTTGAATCAGTCCACGTGAGAACGTCGTTTACTCAAAAGTGAGTCAACATAAGGCTACCCAATTTTGAGTAGCCCTCCCGAAAAAAAAAAAATTACAGTGAAATTTTCAGTGGAAACAATGCTCTAACATTAATATTTATTGTCGACAATAAAAATGATTGTTATAATGTTGTGCTCTTCCGAAAACGGCAAAACTGCTACCTAGCTGTACAATGAATGTACATAATAAAATGTTGTTACAATGATTTTTATCGTTTTTTTCATTTATTTTATTGTTAACATGATTCGATCATGAACAATAATGAACAACTCTATTACAATAAAATTTGTTGTTACATTAAATATTGGTGTATTTTCATTGTGGGTTACTTCACGAACAATAAAAATAAATCTGATTGAAGCAGGTCAGCAACACTGCCAATGTAATCAAGATAGGCGCTGCTCGTATGGCTCTGGCTTTGACAGTTCGTTTGGCTCAAAACCAGGCAGTCCGCGTCCGCTCATATCTTATCCTAGACCCTCTCTAAAGCTTAATGGAGACCTTTTCCGTGCAGTCAATAATCATACAATAATAATAAAAAATTCCACCACTTGAAGATGTCAGGAAGGAACTCTCAGGTGGAAGCATATTTCATGGGCGATTCTCTCCAGCCGAATGCATTAACTTATCAACGACGCTCAACCACCAAGGAGACGTGACCTAGGGATATCGAGCGCAGGGGAGTTGGCCTGCATTTCTCACAAGTTCCGGATCGAATCTCGATCCATAACCAGTAAAAAAAAGGACCACCCGTAACAGACATACCACCCCCTTCCCTTCCCGGGGCAATGTTTTATTTTTTCGATTTATTTTTAAAGTCGATAAAGTAGATCTGTCAAGCCAACATATACACTCTAAAGTACACTGTTATTTTTTTAATCAATAACCAACCAACAGTAAAATAATAATAATATATAATGTTATTGAAAAAAAATTATATGGGAAAATCACGAAAATTTCATTGTTAAGATACTTAACAACCCCCCTTTTTTGTTGTAAATTTTCCATTTACCATGAAATTTATTGTTTTGTACAACATAAATCAAGGTAAATTTATTGTAGACGTAACAATATAAATCATTGTTAAGACAATAATTTTCGTCTTATTGTTACATTGTTTTTTAATGTATTTTTGTTGTTATTTTTTTTCGGGCTACTTGCCGCTGAGATGAGTACATTCGACTCAATTTTGAGTTTACCAGAATAAGCGTGTAAGAAAGCTAGTGCAAATTAAGCCAAGTTCAGTCTAGAGTTGATATTATGTTATATAAGCTATATTGTTATTTCACCTATATAATAGTCATTTAGTGTGATGATTAAAATCATTTAGAAATAAATTGTGTACTACGTACGCAGTGAATGTTGTGAGTGAGTGAGTAAGTGATACACAGGGCTGGTAGTGGGTATGTGATGTAGTAGTGACTTTAGTGACCAAATAGTGACTTTTAAACAAAAATAAAGTGACCAAGTCCTTTATTGGGGGAATTTATTGATCGGAAAGATATGGTTCCAATCATCCGTTATTCCGGTATTTTTCATGCTTTTTAAAAATAAAACAAATTATTTAATACCCCGTTCACATTACAGCCTATATCACGTAATATAGGCTGTTTTGCGATGAGCACTCATTCATAGGATTTCCAGTGAAAACTAGATGTATGAGTGCTCATTGCAAGATAACGTATATCACGTAATATACGCTGTAATGTGAACGGGGTATAAGCATAGAGGTAACTCTGTATAAGTATCACATAAATTTTTTTATCGAAACATAAGCATGAATTGAATAAGCAAGAGCACGTTCCAATTCTAACCTCCATTTCTTCACTCTGC